AAAAAAATTGGGAATAGTAGTTAAAAGCATAAAGGGCATTTTCAGAACCTATGTTTGTGGTTTGTTGGTTTGAATCCAACTGTTGTGTTACCAAAATGAACGTCTCTATATCAGACCAAAGAGAAACTCGTGTTAACTGCAATGTAATGACTTAAACTCTTGTTTCACACCACAACACACCAACAGTCGGCCCGAGCAGCTGCTCATTTGTAGCTGAAACAGCATCAGTCGATGGAGTCGATAGCAGCAAAGTAACTGCAGAGACCACAGGGAGTCATTTTTAGCCCAGTCTGTGGCACACAGCTCGGCCTTTGTGTTATCTTTATTTGTCAGGGACAATGTACCAAAAAAAAAACAAAAGCCTTCATTTCCAACCAAAACAAAGAACACTCTGTATCCGATTTAGCTAGCAGCTACTGTCTGTGTGCAGTCCCTGGACAGGAACGCCACAAAGTAAATGTTGAAATAAGGATCTTAAGTTTGTTCAAAACCAGGGGGGGGCTGGAGACTTTCAACGTCTTTAAAGCAGTTTAAGTCGTTTTTCTTTTTTTGAGTTTTCCTCCTTGGAGAGACAAAACGCTGCAAGAAAATGGATCCGCAAGTTTTTGAAAGTTCTGTTTGTGAAAATATATCAAATAAATCAGTATCCCCACAGAGAGAGCTCCACATATAAATCAACACAGCTTTTTCTTTGTGTTGTATAAAAATGATCACGTAAACAGACAAAAAGGAGAAAATATATGAGATGCACTGATGTATCCGTTGATTATCGTTATCGGCTGATCTCTGCCCTGGTGACAGATATCGGCAAATAATGTGACATTATAGGTAATGTGTATTTGTTGTGTTGTATCAATTTAATGCTGGAAAGCAAGTTTACATAACTGTTGATTCAGAGAAGAGGTTGTTTTATTGGGCAGAAGAAATCACCTGTTGGACAAACTGAGTTGATTTCATGGTCAAAGTGAAAGAACATGTCGGGAATTTTCCCGACGATAATATCGGCTGATATTATCATATCCAGTGACTATCGATATCGACTAATTTAATCGCAGATATGCGCCGATATTACTATATTCAGTCACCAGTCAAACAGCATTTCATTGAGTTTCCCTTTCACCAGCAGAGGGCGCTATATGGATTACAACGATTACACGTACAAGCGTAGTTACTTTCCAGTTGAGTGACCATCTTGTCTACGTAACATATCTTTTCCACAAGTCTTTGATAACTGCATTTTATGGATCAATGCAATAAGTAGTTATATATCTATATCTATCTATCTCTACGGATTGAACATAGATCTTAGAAAAACATTGGAAGATACATCAGATTTTCTTTTCTCTCCTATGTCAGTATCGACATCGGCCCCAAAAACTCATATCGGTCGGACGAAAGGTGCAAAATAATGGAATTTTAAACACAATAAAAATTGGATTAAATGTAATTAACAACTGAAAGCCCTAATGATAACATTCATCTTGGGTGCAAAGGTCATACGTGTGCAAGTGTGAATTCTGATACAGCAAAAGGTCACTGCAGTTTGGAGATACAGCCGCAGTAATTAAACACCACTATCAGGTCAAAACAAGGAGGGCTTAAATTCCCATCAGCCTCAGCTGTGCTTTAATGTTCAGCGCTAATTAACAAATACAGGCATGCTGACACACTAAGCTAACAGGGTGAGCATGGGTCACCTGCTGAACATCTGCGCGTTAGAAGTGTCGTCGTCAGCATGCTGCGGTGTTGACGTTAGCATGTAGCTCAAAGCCTTTAAGTCCTCGAGGGACCATTATGACCTGCAAGGCAAAGGTTGTGTGATGTGGACGGCTACGTTGGCAAAAACAACGAGAAAGCTAATGTAAGAGCAGCAGAGGAGTTCTGCACGCTGCAAGGTGACGAGTCTCATGATGAGGGTTTGATTTACACTCACAGAGGAAAGCCAGAGGGATTAAAGCTTTTCACTCTCTGTGCACCTCAGTATTTGGTGGAATTGTAATTATAATAATAATAATAATGATAATAATAGGAACCCAACGGCTTTGACAAAATATAAAACCATAAAAACAAAACAAAAAACGACGAGGACAGTACAATGAAGAAGTAATGTAGGGGGAAGGGGGGAGTCAGTGGTTGTAGGCAATGTTGAAGAGGTGAGTTTTGAGGGAGTCTCTGATGTTTTTTGGGAGAGAGTTCCAGAGGGTGGGAGCAGCAACAGAGAAAGCCCTGTACCCCCAGGACTGAAGGTTTGTCCTGCAGGGGGGGGGGGGACAGGAGGTTTGCATCCGCAGACCTGAGAGTGCGGGTGGGAGAGTGTCGGTGGAGGAGGTGAGACAGGTAGAGGGGAGACAGGTTGTGAAAGGCTTTGAAGGGGATGATGAGGAGCTTGAAGTTGATACGCTGGGGGGATGGGGAGCCAGTGGAGGTCATGAAGGACGGGGGTGATGTGGTCTCTGGTGCGGGAGTGTGTGAGGAGACGGGCTGCGGAGTTCTGGATGTATTGAAGTTTTTTGAGTGAGTGTGATGGTGATCCGTAGAGGAGACTGTTGCAATAGTCTAATCTGGAGGTGATAAACCCCCCCCCCCCCCCCCCGCTCTTTTCTTTGTCTATTTGTTTCTTTGTTGGTAAAAATATAAGCTTCAAACTCAATAAAAGAAGAGAACTAGTTTTTGTTGACCATGAACTACGACATTTATCTGCAACTCCTCTTATCTGTCAGAGCATTTAAAAAACAAAGGCATAAATCAGCAAAATATGTGCCTGACGTAAAGTCTTTATTGAAGCATTTTTTGCCCCTTTGGCGCCCTTAAACATGCATCCCCTCTTGTCTTTTGTCATAACTGAGAAAACGAACAGTGATTGGGTCTCTTTGGGGATTTTGCTTCCCAACGCTTCTGCAGCTGTATCCAAAATGTCATGAACTCCCCCCCCCACCTCCTTTAGGAGCATCTGAGGACAGTCTGCGATGATACAAGCACTAGTGAGTGTGTGTGTGTGTTTGTGTGCCTGTGTGTGGGTCCCTCCTGGCACCGACATCCCTCTAATGGGGAGCAGGGGGTGAGGGAGGGGATGGTAGAAGGTGGAGATGGAGCCGGGTTGCCAGAGCACAGGTTAATCCACTAATTGGGAGCAAAGGGAGCTGGGTTGCCAGATTGTGATGGCCACCAGGAGGGGCCGTTTAAGGGGGACATCTGTTCCTGCTGGAGAACAGCCGCCCTCACAGCTCCCGAGCTTCCTCCCTGACACTCATCTTCTTCAGACACAAACATGACAGCGAGGAGCGAGCCCTACATCCCCTACTGGGTCTTCACAAGAAGCGAGTCCGCGTCCTTGAACGGTCCAGAAGACAGGATTTTTTTCTGGTTGGACAAAAATGAATAGCTTCGAAAAGGAGTTTGCTCTCTTTTTAAAAAGGAAGGGTGTTTTCGTGCCAGGGGTGTTGTGTCAACTGAAGCCAGTGTTTGCTCAAAGCAGCAATTATCAGCTTGTGTTTTATCCCTTCACAAGGTCCAACGAGCCACACAGCAGCCAAGAAGTTCATCAGCTGAATGTTCTTCAGTAAACATATTCAGGAGCTGTTACACTCAGTCTTTTAGGGAGCAAGTCACACGGCATGTTGATTGTAATAAATGAGCAGAAAGTTAAGAGGCAGGATTCAGATCGACGATAAAATACAGTAACACTGTTAACCATTTCTACTATTGGAGTACTTCTTCAAAAATGAGTATTTTGTAAAGCATAGAGTCCACCTTGCGTTTTTTTCCCTGACAGAAAAGCGCTGGTTGGGAGAGCTCGCTTGAAGCTTTTGTGCTGCAACAGTCTGTTGACAACTGGCTGCTGTATGACCAACACTGCTCTGTTACTTTTCACTGCATGTTTTATCGGCAGGCGACAAAACTACGAGGAATATCAAACATTTGGAAAAGAGCGCCGGTGATGTCCTCACATCAGCCCACTTGGACTCCTTTTCCTGCGGCAAAATTACTAGCGGCCTGGCAGGAGAAATCCTGAGTTTTTCAGCAGATTTCTGCAAGTGTGAAAGCCCTATAAAGTCGAATAAACACATCAATATTGTGGTTGGAATCTAAGTTAAAGCAAAGATATAATACAAAAAATAACAAAGGGGAACATTGTACAATGAAATGAAAATTTAAATCTCTACTTTCTACATCTCTTATTGCACCTGAGGTTATTGCACACATATTTTTCACATTATATCATGACACTGTTTTTTGTTTTTAAGGTTAATATTGCACACTTGTGTTGCACTGTGAGGTGGTCAGCTGTCCATTTAGTCTGTGAGGTGTGGGGTGAGGTACCATTCCCATCTTAATGTCCTGTGCTACAAGTCTCACAGCAGCAGGGAAAAAGCTGTTGTGGTAGCGGGCCGTGTGGGTGGAGATGCTCTCTGGCCTGTGATGTCGTAGGTTATAGCCCGAGTTCTTCCACCTGAACAGAGCATGAGCTGGGTGCTGTTTGTCCCTGAGGACGCTCTGTGCTTTTCCCCTGCAGCGCTGTGTGTACAGTGTGTCCATGGAGGGGAGGTTGGAGCCAATGAGATGACGCTAGAGCGAGAGCCACGCGTTATTGGACAGAGGAGACACAATTTCTGATGTGTCAGCTGATAGAGTTAAACATAAAGAACTCCATAGATGGAGTCATATCAGTTTGGGGATTTCTAACTTATTTGTCGATTGTTTGGTGTGTGACGTTTATGGTCAACAGGATGAAGGTCAAACTAGCTGAAAGGGGCTTAGCGTCACCTAGTGTAGTGGAGTCAGACGTACTTCTGTCAATAAATCCATTCTCCCCCAGTGCTTGTGTACTGGGACAAGGACAGTAGTCAATTAAACAGCCTGATGGAGCTATAACTGTAGCTCAGCCTGACTGTGCATTAGCGCCACATCCTGTTCAGGTACTCTTGTCTTGTGGGTAGTTTCAAGAAGCTTTCTTGTGTTTTCCTCACATGTGTCTCCTCTTGTGTGTCTGTCTGTATCAGGATATGCCATCCTGCAGTCCATCATGGAGAAGGCGGGACAAAACAACTGGCAGATCAGCGCCATCTGCGTGGAGAACTTCAACGACGCCAGCTACAGACGGCTGCTGGAGGATCTGGACCGGAGACAGGAGAAGAAGTTTGTAATCGACCTCGAGGCGGAGAGGCTGCAGAACATGCTGGAACAGGTGACGTCAGCCTTCACTTTTTATCACTTCATCCTTGTTTACCTGAGAGAAAGACGTGCGTGACGTGATGTGCGACAGCCGTGCTTTGAATGTCGTTTTCATGATGAACGGTGACAGAAGCGAGATCAGCCAAGATGTTAGTAATAATGTTGGCTTTCAAACACAGAAGGTGAAATGAAATCACTATACTCTAATTTAGAGAAAAATATATCTACAAGATGTGGCATATTCTGATCAGAATTAATAACTTCACCTTTATTGTGAAGGTTCCTTCAAAATAAAAGCTTTTTGCAACACGCTTCTATCAAGCAATCAAACTTTATTTGTGTAGCACTTTTCATAAAATTAAATAATGTAAGAAAAAGTGCTTCACATACAAACAAATAAACAAATCAATAAGCAACAATATAACCACATACTCACACTCTCTCTCACACACACACACACACACACACACACACACACACACACACTCACACACACGTCATGGATAAAGAACCTGATAAATACAAGTACTGACAGACAGGGGAAAAACAGATGGTAAGATTAAAATGTTAAAATTCAAGATGTGAAAATAAGACAATTAATGGATATTTATTTGTGTGTGTGTGTGTGTGTGTGTGTGGGAGTCAGCCCCCCAGTGTGGCCCCCCAACCTAAAAAAGTCTGGACGTACCCCTGCAAACGACCTCTAAGGGCTTAACATTTAGAAGCTAATTTGATAGATAGCTAGGAGCGAGACCATTAAGAACTCCATAAACCAATAAAGAAGCTTCTCAGACAAACAGGTAGGCGATGCAGAGACTTTAGAATCAGGGTGACGCGCGCTCTCCTTCTGGTCTCCGTCAGCAGTCGTGCAGCTGAATTTTAAATCAGCAGCTGCTGCAGCTCGGAAAAATATTCTTTTTTAGGAAGAGCCCGAAAGTGGAGCATTGCAGAAGTAAATCCTGCAGGTTATGAAAGTTTGAATCAGTGTCTCTGCATCGGAATGTTCTGTAACACAATAAAGCAGATAATTCTTAACTATTTTATAACGGGAAATAAATCCCAAATATACAAATAACACCTGAGATGTGTGCGCTGTATTTCCACACAGGAACACCTCTGACTAAGCAGATTAATATTACCTGAGGGGCAGGTCTATTCCTGTGTGTTTTCTTGTTATGCTAATTAAGCACATTCGCTCCGAGCCGCCCGATTTTTGCACATACATTTTCTTTGAGAAGTGGCCCATTTAGATTTGCATATAGATAAAAGCCCAGGCATTTTAAATGTAAAGCATTGGCTGTCAGATCTGGAAAATGTCCCCTGTTTCCCTCATCTGAGTTGAACGTCATCATTATTTTGTACTTCTGGCGCTCGCCGAAACAACAATTTAATAACCATGTTAAATAATATGACTCAAAGCATCAGAGAAAAAATGAGATGAGGAAAGAAGAACAAGCAGTCAGACTTTTAAAAGAATGCAATGTATAAAAACTGAGACAACAAAGAGACTAAGAAACTGTTCGTATAGTGAAGCAACGCTTTCTATTCATTTTCTATGGAGAGCCAGAGAGGAAGTTGCGCAATGCATTATGGGATCTTTGTGACCCACCAGAGGTCTATTCTATGCAAATGACTCCAGCAACTAGCCGCGCGTCTATCCAATCAGGTGCATTCATTGAGGCTACTTCACCATATAGAGAACAAACCATATGACATATTTTTGTAGGTCGACCCTGAAGCTTAATAAATAGTTTACTAACATAATATTCACCTGAACCTAAAGATTAAACCTACAGGAGACATCTCCGACTAGTGAGAGAGTTCCCGCCCTCTGTGTCCGGCGTGATGACCTTTAATGTCCCCGACAACCGCTGTAGTCACATTTAGCCTCTTGTTAGCAACCGCCTTTTTAAAGACGAGTAAAAACTTCAAACTTCACAAGTGGAGGTATTACCTAACGTAGTTTATGTGCTCTAACAAAACACCAACATCTCTTCAGCTTGTGTTAACCACAGACCTTATTTCAGGAGTCTAACCACAAACACATTCAAAATCCCCGTTGACTTTTAGACATTAGACCCCATGGCGCTCAAATGCTAACTTACTTCCGGGTTATAGGACTCATTCCTGTAGCGCTCTATTTCAATCTATAACTATGGATTGAAGGTGGATCAAACAACAATATCTGAAAATGTATCCATCAGATTTTTTTCTCTTCCTGATATAGATATCGGCATCGGCCCCAAAAAATCTCATTTATGAATATTACATTTTCATACTTAAAAAATAATAATACAGCGAGTTATACTTGAAGTGTGAGATGTCTTGACACATTTCTGCAGCTTTGAAACTTAACCGCTCACCCCCTGACCCTCCTGCTTTAAGTTACTGACACTTTGCAAAGGAGACCAAATATTAACCTCTAAATTACATGAAGGGCATAAACTGTTTGCACGATGCCTGACTAAATGTTTAAATGACCAGATTTTCAAAATCTCTGCAATTAACTAAGTAAACGATGTTATCTTCAAAAAATCTTTGACATACGGCTCCAGTTGTTTTTGACTCTAGAAATGTTATGTATAAAGCCTAATTGAATTGTCCTATTCCGATCACAGATTTCTTTTTTAGGGAGACGTGGCCAAGAAATCAGAAACACAGTTTCAACAACAAAACACTCAAACTCCTTCAGATCACATTTCATCATAAGAAAACTGAAGATAAAAATCATCAATGTTGCATTGAAAGTTTGGATCGAAGACTTTTCTCTGAGGTTTTAAAAAAATCAGCGTAACTCAGCTTTCAATTTCAAATCAGACTGAGGATTGTTCCAAAGGTGTAAAAAACCTAAACGCTTTCTTTCCCGACACAGTTTAGAATTTAGGAACGACAAAATGTAATAATGTTCAACGAATGAAGGTTGTGGATCCCAACCTTCAGGATTAAAAGTGAGTAAAGGTAGTGCAGGATCTTTCCCAGAATAGCTTTATAAATAAAGATTTAACAATGTCCACACCAGCAAGTACTTACAAACTGAAACTTGAAACTTTGAATCTGAACATCTGGATTTATTTCTTATTCTCTGACATGCCATGACATGATCCCACAAACTAAACATAAGTACAGAACAGAACTTACTCTATGTTTATTTTACTATTTTCTTTGACAAAGTTTGAAGCCTGAAAACAGCCTGTTCAGATCTCCGCTGGTGTTTTTTTGGCATACACACACTCAGAATATAAAGTGTACCTTCGTCCCTGCATCGCCTTCCCCGAGGCACCTGGTGTCTCAGTTTGTTGTTCAATTATTCAGGAAATCTCCACTCCTGACATCTGTCATAGTTCTAACAATTTACTCTGCAGATGAGTGTGTGTGTGTGTGTGTGTGTGTGTGTGTGTGTGTGTGTGCGCAGCAGACGTCCCGCTCCATGCGTAGATGTGATGGACTCTGTCAGATTCTGAGCTTGTGGGATGATGCACGGTTTGTGCAGCGGTGGTCAGAGTCACCTCGAAACACATCAACTTGTATTTAAGGCTTTTATTAGCATCGTGTTCAGTAAGTATCTCTTCAAATTCTCCAGATCCGGGACGAGGATTTGAATACATAATTGGGCCTCATTAGCTGCTTGTTAACAGCACGGTCAGTAAACATCGGGGCTTATATGCAACCAGATGTGACTCTGGATTTAAGACCATTAAATCTCTAAATACACGACTGTTAGAGACAGAAAGACGATCTAATGGAAGCACATTTTCAAGTTGTACAAACTGAACTATAGTTGCCAAATTAAAAACAGATGACACTGACTTATAGATGTCGTTAAATATATTTTTTTAAGCAAAGTTTTGCAGAAGATTCTGGTCCTGAATGCTCTGGATTTGTTTGGACCAGAGAAGGTTTTAAGGCACCCTCCACATGGCCGTTTTGGACGCCCCTCAGTTTGCCAGATATGAGAGCAGTTATCAGGTCAACAGGTGTTGCAGTGATGGAAGCGGTCAAGAGAAGTGGTTCAGATAGAAGTGATTGTACCCGACCTAAAAAGCCTCTGCATGTTTCTAATAAGCTCCACGAGCAGAAACGTGCTCAAACTAGGATCAATATTGGAGATGCTTTTGAAAAATGGAGAGAGGTTAGAACACAGAAAGGTTTACAGACCCATGCAGAGCTGGATAAACACTGAAGCTTCAGAGTCCACCACATGGTGACCTGAGTGAACATCCACTCTAGAGAGGAGGAGGGGGGGAGACAGCTCTCTATGATGTTTAGAATTTAGACTGCAGTACCCATTTTAAACACTAGGTGTCAGAGTTACATATCGCTCCTTTAATTATCACCTTTTTTGCACACAAAAATTCCTCTTTATAAACTCAGAGTCTCTGTAAAGTTGTTGAAAAGGGTCTTCTCACATCCGAATTGAAGTCTTTTAAAAGGCTGTTACATTGTGAGGTCAGGGAGAAAAGAAAACATGAGAAGATTCTGCATTAAGAGGAATAATAATCAGACAAGAACCAATGCATCCTCTCTGCACTGTATTCTCCAGCACTCAACATAATCACATACAGTATGCATGTTGTGTTTTACTTTCTGATTAATGATGAATAAATACGATACATTAATGCAAGTGAGGCAAATTGAAAACATTCAGTTGATGTTGATTTATTATAAAAGTGAGTGCTTGTGCTTTTCATGCGAGCGGCCGTCATTAATTAGGTCGTATACGAGGCAGAATTAGTCGTCCCTCCCTGCATATCATTTTCCAGCTCACAGCTGTTCTTCTGCAGGGACGTCGCTCTCCGTCGCACCAGGAGCCAAATATCTGTAACTGCATGGATGAAATTTTAAATAATCATAAAATCACAGTGAGTTAGCACACAGGAATATAAAGACAATAACAACGTATCCTCTCATCAGTGTAGTTGTTTGCACTGTGGGACATAACAAAACAGGCAGGGTATTTTAATGCAATAAGAGATTTAGAAGGTGATTCATGTTACAAAGTGATATCAAGCAATCAGAATCAACTTAATGCCAAACGTATGTCTCAGTTTGATTTACACATTATGGTAAGGTTAAAAACTGAATAAGAAATCTCCTGTCAATCAACTTGAATTGAGTTAAATAACAACACTGTTACGACCAGCTATAGGGGAAAGTGACCCTCTCCTTCATCACTCACAATGATGATCCACAATCAGATTAATTTACAGTACAGATATTTATTAACAATAAACACAAAATTAATCAACCTCAGGGAGAGCACCGGCCCAAAAAAAATAAACATACCATCTAAATGAGAGAGAGATAAGAAAAGATAAGATAAGACAATCCTTTATTTATCTCACAACGGGGAAATTTACAGTGTTTACAGCAGCAAAGAGCAAAGATTGCAAACAAAAAGTGAACACAGTACAATTTAAATAAAAAAAGAAAAATTAAAAATGTACAAAAACTAGATCGATACCACAATATAGATTTTTAAAAATAGATTTAAAAAAAAAAATAGATCAGGCGAGCTGCAGTTTTGACAAAAATGTAGTCAGAATATTCAGTGTAACACAGACACAGACAGTAAATGGTAAATGGACTTGAGCTTGTTTAGCACTTTTCTGCTCTTCTGACTACTCAAAGTGCTTTTACACCGCAGGTCAGACCAAACATTCACACACTGAAGGTTGAGGCTGCTATGTAATTCCATTCATACTCTGCCGATGAAGACTTGTGTAAATCAGTGTACTTCTTGTGATGAAAGATACAACACAAAACTCAAAGTACTTGGTCTTTTTTGATTCTCTGATTTTTTTGAAATTTTGAAAATCCAAAACAAAAAACGCCAACCAGAATTTAAATTTTTAGACACTTCAAATCCATTATTACCTTTCGGCAACTCAGGGTTAAGTGTCTTGCCCCCCATCGGACATGTGGCTGCAGGAGCTGAGAAATGACGACTCTACCAACTGAGACCCAAAACCAAACTACCTTACCTCAAGCACTCTACATAAAACTTGAACACTTGTCATTTAAGTTAATGGAGAGCAGACACTTAATCTGCCAAAACAATCCAGATATGAGGGGAGACACAAAGTGACCTTGGTTGGCATAGACACGACTGAAATCAGGTGGCAAAGAATGAGCTAAATGTCTGTAAACAGAGATACATAAATTCCATCACAATTCCCACTTTAATCTCTAATAAGAACAAAACCTCTTCTCTAATATGATGACTGATTTATTTGCCGTTTTGTTTGGATGCTGATCTCTCCTGCAGGTCCCTGTCGTGACTCCGATTGACTTAACAGTTGTGTATTATATGTTTGAATCTTTCCCACCACCTGATGCTCCGCTCTTAACAGCACTGGTTTCATCAAAGCGTTTCCCTTTCAGCTCAAATCACGGCCATTATTAACCCGGACGTCCGGTGGGATTTCCCAGCAGATGTCAGCTTTCAAGATCAGTTTTTATCAAACAGGAGGCAGCCATGTGGTCGTGCTTGTGTATGTGTGTGTTAGTGTGTGTGTGTTGACATGCGTTGTTGTGTCTCTGAAAGCGTGAAGTGTTGACTTCCTCGCCGAGACGACCGCCTGTTCATTCGTTCAGACGTCTGAGCTACCGAGAATTAAACCCGATTGGTCCCTCTCGTGTCGAGCTGCACACACACGCCTGTCACACGCGTCATTAACTGTAATTAACGTATGCTACGCTGTCATCCAGTCGGATTAACGTTGAGTTCTTTTCTCCGCCTCCTTACAGATCGTCAGCGTGGGGAAACATGTCAAAGGCTACCATTACATCATGGCCAACCTGGTGAGAGGAAAAATGACTTCTGATGCTTCCTGTGTGTTCTTTCTCTTCATGTATTCTTCACCTCACCTCCCTCCTGATTTCTCATCTCTGCTTCCTACCAATTCTGCTCTGTAGATTCAATCTGTTTGTTGTGGTGTTTAAATGCAAAACTTAGTCCTAAGTATCCACGAACGCCTCGTTATTTTTTAAGATGGGGGTTAAAACTTTTGAAAAATATGATTTAGACGCATGAATTATGCATCCGATGGATAAAAAAAAATTCAGAACCAGAACCCTGCATTTTCTACACGAGCGGGAATATCACAAAGATGATAGACGAGCACTTCTCTGAATGTGAAATGTTGTTTAAGAGTTTGTGTTTGATTCTGCACTCACACAGTAAATAAGGATTGGTTGATTTATGATGGATTTGACCTCTTCTGTACATCACTGAAAATAACAAAACCATCACTGCTCCAGGCTGATTCAGTTTATTTCATGAAACAAAAAAAAAGGATAATTATTTCCGCTTTTCACTTTAATGAGAAAGGAAGTGAAGACAAAGTTAGGAATTGAAGGGAGGAGGAAGGGAGGGGGCTGAACTCAGCCTCGTTACATGTGAAAGGCACTTTAATGAGAAACCTACCAAGGCGTTCCCTTAGGTATATTCTCAAAACACATGAAACCCTAACTCTGTGAATGCTCTGCTTGAATAACATGGATGCATTTGCTCACTTGCTCCGTTGCTTAAACTCTCACGCTGGTTTTATTTAAAGAACCGGCCAGAAGCAGATGCTGTAACGTCTCGATGAACATACTGAACCCAAAAAAGAGGAAATATTTAGCGTGAAAAGACTTTCAGAACATTTCTATTTCACTCACATCACCATCGGTTTTAATCAGGACCACTGAAACATTTAGGCCCCGTGTCTCTTTTAAAGATGAGTCGAGACGGTTGCAGCAGCAGGCGGTCGCCTGGAGAGAAAGCGCAGGGCCCAGCATATTTGTTTTCCAATCGCTCCGCCTTTTATTGTGCGGCTGCTCTGAGCACTCAAGTGGAAAATCTTGTAACTATTTTTTAGAACGGTGCTGTTGACGTCACCGGCACTCTATTTCTAAAGGTAAGATATTCCCCGTAATTTATCCGCCTGATCCGACACATCCTCTGTGTCTGATCAGGAAAATAAAATATCTAAAATAAGAAATACGCAGTAAGAAGTAACGGAGCAGTGTGGGTCATACAGGAGCGGCCGTTGTCAACAGACTGTTGTCATAGCAACAGGACAGACTTGCAGTTTGATATGATGGTTCTGGGTCAGCGCTGAAGCTCTTGAAGAGTGCTTTCTCTATTTTATTGTTACAGTCATTGACTTGTTTTTTCTGTCTTTCCATCGTCTGACTCAGCCCATGACCGCTCTCTCCTCTTTCTGTTTCCCCCCCTGAAGGGTTTTAAGGACATCAACCTGGAGCGCTTCATGCACGGTGGAGCCAACGTCACGGGCTTCCAGCTGGTCGACTTCAGCAACCCCATGGTCATCAAGCTGATGCAGCGCTGGAACAAGCTGGATCAGAGGGAGTACCCGGGCTCCGACGCCCCACCAAAGGTATCAAATGGTCAAATCAGTAGTTTGGTTCTGTGGCATCAAGTAGAGATCAGTTTAACAGAAAACTCCCTTTAAGAGACTTTAGTTAGCCTTCATATTCTGCAAACATCAGAGGAGTTCAGCCCCTTCTTGCATCCAAAAAGTTAAAAACTTCTGCTGTGAGCTTTCAAATCTCTGGTTATATTTTAGACTGTTGAAAGTAACTGAAAACAACAGCTACCTGTGGAGCGTTTGTGCAGACATTAGTGTTCAAGTACTCAAGATCTATCAAGGACTCTCAAGACCACTTTCTAAAGATTTGCTCCGCTTTTTGTAATTGGACACATTCTCACTTGGTCTTGTCTTGGAGTCAGACAAAGACAAACATATAAAGAGCAGTCAAACCCGTAACTGCTGGGAGACGACTTTACTGTCAGTGCATTATTTTCTCTTTATTCTGTCATTACTCAGATTGGATGCTAAACTCCCTGCTTCAACTGCAACCGATAACTTTACTCATTGACCAATATGTTTAAAAATGAAAGAGGTGAATGAAGAAGAAATTTAGACATATTCATTTGTTTTAGTGGAAATATGGATCTTTAAGATCAATCTAAGGACCGCCTTTTGTTTTTTGCATGAACAAAACATTTTTGTACGTATGCATATACTGCAGGTACAGGCACTGATCTGGGCTTGGTTTTACTCAGTTTCACATAGCTTAAGTCTTGGTGTTGGGGCTGGGTATTCATTAGTTATAGATAGATAGATAGATACTTTATTTATCCCGAGGGAAATTAAAAAATTATGAGGTATTTATCCGGTCTGATGAAAGTCTGGGTCCTGAAATGTCACATGCAGTGATAGACTTCATGAAATGTGGAGCAGCTTTTGGTGAGCGGACTCAGTCTTCCTTTTAAAGGCTTTATATGCGATTTTTTGATCCAGCAGATGTCGCCCTTGAGCACCAGCATGAAACCAAAACAACTGGCGCTGCATTGTTGTGTTAGCATGATAATGCTAGCGATCTTTATTATGCTGGTATCTTCACACTGCATGTAAATTTACCTGAAATGAGCGTGATCTAGAAACACAGTTAAGCAGTGAGTACAGTATGTTATTCTTCTTTTCTCTAGTCCCTCAATTAAACAACTTTTATACACGAGGGGAGGAGTCAGCCGGCCGTCCTGGCGATGTAAACAAAGTGAAGATAGGACTCTGAAAACTCTGAAAACATCACAGACAGTGGGACTCGGGTGTTACACCCATTGTAGACAGTCATGACTCACAGAGTTATTTTCAGAGGAGATACTTCATCACATATAAAGACTTTAAAGGAAGATGTGCATCAGGAAGATTCCAAGGACTGCCTTTCTGAAAATCTTCCAGAAAGTTTCAGGAGTGAATGTGTGAAAAAGGCTTTTGACTTGATGTTATTTATCAAAGTCTCTGTTTACTCAGTCTTGCCCTTGCTTTAATTGTGGTCTTAACTGGCTCTTAATCCCTCAAAGCTTTGGGGCGTGACTTGGTCTTGCCCAGTCTTTATCTTGGTCTTGACTCCATCTTAACACCTCAAAGCCCGGGGCTCGCCATGGTTTTGGATGCACTCTGGTGTTGGTCACGACTTGGTTTTGATTTGAGTCGTCTTGACTGCAACACTTGTAGAAAGTCATGTTAAATGTATGCTTCTTTAGTCATTGGGCTAAACTTGAAAAAAAAATCAGAGCCGGGGAACAAATAGTGCATACAGCAGAGACAGAGAGGAGAGGTCAGTGTCGGATAAGATGAAATGTGTATAAATACAAAGCAGCGTGTTGCCAGGCGTGCAGAGAAACAGCATCCGAGCACTCAGAGACAGAGATGCAAACGAAAACAACAACATAATAAAAACACATTCATGAGCGTGCACACAAACAAGCAGCTGCAGCAGGAATCTGCAGCGATGTGACAGACTGACCCACTTTGCATTCTTTTCAGGCACACAGATTGCAAATGGCACTGGGGCAAGAAGGCATCACGCCATGGTGGTCAGCGAACCTCCTCCTGCCCCCGAGCAAATCTGTGCGCCAACAAAGATTTCTATTTAAAAAACCAGATGCAGCCGAGCGGAAACGGTGTGAGTCAAGAGGAGAGAGAGAGAGAGAGAGAGAGAGAGAGAGAGAGAGAGAGAGAGAGAGAGAGTGTGGGATGTGTGTCTGATGGATTTGGGCGGTTCAAATTAAAAGTTTACACCATGGGGTGATGTCACATGATATTATTGAGTGTGTGTGTGCGCAGGGCTGTTTGTGTTATCTGTGTGTGTGTGTGTGTGTGTGTGTGTGTGTGTGTGTGTGTGTGTTTATCTCCCTCTCCATTTCTTGATAGATTGCTCTCTCTCCTGGAAATCCACTCAGACTAAATAACTCTGCTCGCCATTAAGTTTGTCCACAGCCTGAGTCACAGCCGGCCCTTCTTTCTTCTAATATATTTACACTGGCGCTGAGTTGGGTCTTCTTCTGGCATGTTTACTCCTTTTTTTGCAAAAGACAAATCGAAATGCCTTTGTGTTAAGAGTTACAGGAATCTGCAGGTAGTGATGTAATGACACACTCAGTGTACAGTGTGTCTTTATGACGGCGAGCTTTGTCATGACAGGGACTAATGATGAGATACTTGAATCTGTTTCTGTCTTTTAACCCAAAGAGCTCTGCTCTAATGACGGGTTTGTAGATCTGTTTGTATTGATGTCATTTCTCTGAGTATCTCCTAGAGGTCGTGCATCACGCCTTCACAAGACGATTCGATCCGATTAAATTCTCTACGGCTACGGTCCAATTCAGGGAGGATTCATTATAATAAAGAACGATTTCATACCAGTGGATTATCGGATCCAAAGTATTTGTTTTTACTCTATGGATGTGAAAAAAAAGTCCATCGATCCATCCATTTTCTACATCGCTTTCCCCGTTCAGGGTCGCAGGGGGCTTGAGCCGGACCCAGCTGTCATTGGACGAGAGGCGGGGGTACACACCCTGAACTGGTCGGCAGTCCATCACAACTTTAAAACCGGGCCACTGACCAGTTTATAGTATTTTTCCACCGATAATGGGCCTCTGAGGACGGATTCACTCAGATCTTTAACGTTAAAATCGGTTACCCATTCAGATCGGTTTGCACCCCTAGTATTTTTTTGCCTTCATGATATCAGATTCAGATCTCAATAATTTCAGCTTTACATCTCTTTATAAGGTTAATCTTTCTTCGTCATGATAATCATCCTCTCTGCAGGAGGAATCAGAGAAACACTGACTGACTGACTCTGTCAATACGATATCGATCAGGGCAGAAAGTGTGAGTCTTTAAGCTTCCTTAAAACTTTACACTTTCCAAACATTTATCTTTGAATCCTGCAGAAAAAAATTAAACACAGGAACTGAAGTATAATCAGACAGGGCATGTCATTATTGTTTTGTCCTTCTTCAAAGGTTTATTTTTGGGCTTTTTTACACCTTAAATTTGAAAGAGAGGACAGTAGGTAGAGCCAGAAATCAGGGGTGGAGAGAGAGCCACAGGACGGACCTGAACCCGGGCCGCCCACCAGGAGGACCAAGTCCTCCACACATGGGGTCAGAAACACTACAGTCAAATCTAAAGTCCAAAAATCAATTTTTCCATACTTAGTTAAGAAAATGTCCCCACAAATACAACCAAGATGGAAGAAATGCTCAGAGAAGTGTGTCTATAATATTTCCTTCTTGGTATGGGTGTTCTCAATCAGGAAGATTTGGTTTTTCATATCTGACGTTGTGATGAAGATTGGTTCCACACTTGTAGCCACTTCCTGTTTAAGACGTCCTGCTCTTAATATCAAACTGTTTGCCTGATAGAGGACTAGAACTGAAACGTTGCCACTATATGTACGTTTGACAGTGTGCCAGAGTTTACCAGCAGGTTTTTGAAGGATAGTGTCTTTATTAGACTTCATCAGACTGACTGATGAAAGGCTAAAGGGCCTGAAACAACACACGTGGTGATACATTTCATTAAATCTGATTGTTAATATCCAAACTGCTTTCTTAATGTCCAATGACCTTTTTGTTTTACAAATTCAAACCTGATAAATCACCCTGTTCAATCCCTAAGTGAGGGAACAATCCCTTGAAGTATAGAGGTGACAACATCAACAGTGTGAATGAGAGGGCACAACTTAACTTACACTGTACCAGAATTTTACCATAAAAACGACGATGACAATGTATAAGAAATAACGGTATATTGTTTGGGCAACCGTAAATTTTACGGTATAGTGAAGAAATCTAAAGATGACTTAGTGAATCAGGAAACAGAAATGAGCAAACAGGAACAACATGTCAGACTGCATGGACAGATGTTGTCTTATTGTAGGGATGCATTTTACAGTTGGGATACATTTTGGTCTTTTTGTTATCTTATCTTGTCTTAAATGTCTGAAACTAAAGAACTAATCCAGCATCGTCCCTCGTTTCCCCCCCTGCCCCCCCCCATCCACGTCCCTGTGCTGCTTTTAGCTGCAGGCAGAGATGCTCCTGACAGTTCATCTTGCACCTCTGTTATTTGTGTGTGTACGTTACTTTGGGCAGCTTGTCAAAGAGAAACAGGGGTAGAGAGAGTGCAGCAGCCTCCGCAGAGAGCCGTAATGTCACAGTGAGCAGTGGGCTAATGAATAGGAGTCACCGTCGGCCGGAGGCGAAGTTAATGAACTCCTGCTAGCCAGGATAATTAATGCCAGACTGCTACCCCGGCTGGACAAAACATCCTCTTCTTCTCCCTCTTCTTTTTTTTTTCTCCCCAACCGCTCACCCTCCATCTTACTCCCTCTTCTTTTTCAGTCAATTAGTTTCTGCAGCGCTTGGAGGTGAGGTTTAGGCAAATATATGGCCCATGACAGAGCGAGTGATGTCTGTGGACGTAAATACTCGGAAGGGAACATGGAGTCTTCAGGTCAGAGATAGATTAGGGGAAATTGGGGGAGCTTACACGGTGGGGAATATACTCCTCCCATCTCTCCCTCTCCGACTTTCCATTTCTAGAAAAATAATGAGCAAAGTAAAGCGGCCTCTCTCTCTGCAGCCGTTATGATGCGCTGCTCGGCCCCGGCAGAAACTCAGCGTGCTCTCTGAGGCAGATTGTTTTAGGAATTGTTAAAGGAGGTCTAACCAGCAAATATAGCAGAAGATTTGGCCTGTCCGGCTAAATCAGCTTTAAATTGGCCCAAAACAGACAAAACAGCAGGGCGGACTCCTAACAACAAAGACTGCAATTTACAAATCACAGCTTCTGTTTTTAGTGAATTGAATTGAATCTAACAGGCTGGAGTTAAAATTTCTACAGCAGCGTTTTTATTGAAATTTAAGGTGTTTTTTTTTCCTGCAACCATAACGTCTATAGCTCTCTCTTCCTCTCTTCCAGTACACCTCGGCATTGACGTATGACGGGGTGATGGTGATGGCTGAGGCCTTCAGGAACCTGCGGCGGCAGAAGGTGGACATTTCCAGACGGGGGAACGCAGGCGACTGTCTCGCCAACCCCGCAGCCCCGTGGAACCAGGGCATCGACATGGAGCGCACTCTCAAACAGGTGAGGCGGGGGAGGAATGCAACGTGATGCAGGCTTCTAGGATAGGACGTTAAACTGATGTGATGTCATCTTTTGGACCGAGAAAAACATGCAAATTTGTTTGCTATACTACTGCAAAGACCCAAGTAAACACAGAAACATTTTACATACATATCCATTCAAGATCCTCATTTCCCCCTCATTACTATCCAAAAACTTTTGAAGGAAGTTTATGTAAGCAATGGGGCTGATTAAAAGGAGGTTGTTATACACACATCGTGTAGGAGCAGGGCAGTGCAAAAACAGCAGACTGAGGAAGAAGGTACGCTCGTACACTCGCTTAAATACCATCGCAATCACAACGTTTGGACCAGAGGTCTTCTTCAGGTGATCATTTTTTTAGTTTTTACCTGAAGAAGACGACTGGTCAAAACCAAGCTGCAACCTCCGGTCTTGAAAAATGAAGAAGTGCAAAATCCTGCCGTTCCTCGAGTGTCCACTAGAGGCTGGCTCCAGGAACACAGGAAGTCACATACACACAGCAATCCAGTTTTTACAGCATAAATTAACATGGTACAAAAAACTAAACAGGTCTGATTAGTTACTGTCTTCACTGGCACACTCTGTACTCTGTGAATTTTTCCAAGATGCATTTGATTTGATTTTATGAACGATATGTGATTTCCATAGTTAGGCCTGTCGCTGACATGATTGACAGGTGGGCGCGGTGTAACGGTTTGTCAAGAGTTTTAAAACCCGCCTCAGCTCCAGCTCTCAGCCTGTCGTTAGGTTGACTGAAAGTTAGACTGAGACAGGATTTCCAACGTGGCGGCTGCTGGCGATGAGCCTCTGGCGCCCCCTGCAGGAACAGATGGCTGACGTCATTAATACTTACAGTCTGTGTCAAAATGTTGTGATTGTAATGAATGAACTTTAATTAATTTCTTGTAATTAAGCCTGCAAGTGTTCAGGCTTATCTTCTTCCTCGTTCAACTTTACACAATAAACAATAACATGTAAGACCTTAACAATGAGTTCAACATGTAGCTTCAGTTTTTGGAAGCTACTGATTTTGAGAAATGTGGAAATATTCCTTTAATGCCCCTAAAACAGCTGGAGGTGAAGTCCACATGTGTGTTTTTGAGAAAAGAAAGTACAATAATTTAACTTTAACTTTAACTTCTGTGGTAGTCATCTCTATCCACCTTTTTATAAGTTTTTCTTTCCACAAAATATGAGAAGCAACATTTCTGTTATATTTAAAAAGACACCTATAAATCCTTAACTCTGACCTTTTTACTTTAACTTGTATTGATTTGTATTTTTTTTACATTTGTTATTTGTATGTTCTCATCTGTGTGCAGGTCCGGCTGCAGGGATTAACAGGTAATGTCCAGTTTGACCACTATGGCCGAAGGGTCAACTACACAATGGACGTGTTTGAGCTGAAGAATAATGGACCCAGACGGGTAATCACATCACACAACACAACTTTCATTTTGTGTTCATATTTGTCCAGTTTAACTCACTGCTTCTTTCTAGCCTACATCATGTTTCTAATACGTGAGCTCAGATATTTACTCTGAGGTTTGAGGACGACGCCCCCTTCAGGTGTTATCAGAGCGTTAATGGCCTTGTTGTCAGTATGAATATCTATCGTAACCATGCCGGTAGAGCAGGAGGCGCCTGAACATCAGAAAGTCTGCATCAAGCAGGCTGAACTCCACCTGACCTTTGTTGTCATGGAAACTGCAATAAAATACTAGCAGTGTCACAGTTAAGTGATGACATCGTTCGAATGACCCTGTGCAGGCCGCCTGCTCAGACCGAACAGATATCAAGAAGGTCTGGACTACAAAAGTTACAATCGTAACTATAAGCATTGCTCCCGTTGCCTAGCAACCTCAACAGCTGCACTGGAACTAGCTAACATGATCAACATCACATAACTCAGGTGTTTTTCAACACTTCTGATGCTAGCTTTATTTAAAAACGAGATGAAACCAATTACTGAGTAATCGTCGGCTGCTTGAAACCCCGCCATTGCCTTTTGAGTTGGCGCACCATGAACATCGGGAAATGTTCGGCCAAGAAGGATGCACCAGATGGATCCTTCTGGAAAAGCTTATAGGTCTTCAAAAATGGGACAGCCTTCGACTAGATGCAGGCACTGAATTGAGACGTGTTTTGTGAAACGGTCACACTGTAATGTCAATATCTGACAAATACATGTTTACAGTCTTCTCAGAGTTAGAGACCATTTTATTACCAGATGGTTTAACCTTACAAGGAGTTTTCTTGCAATAAAAATCAAATAAACAGCCGTACTTCAACACTCAGATTCATACATTCAGGACTATGTGAGGTATATATAACAGCATGAAACATGTAATAATACAGAACAACGAGGAGGTAATCCAGGTCTTATCACCTTTTGTGAAAGCCAAAAGCCATTTAATGATCTGATAACATCTGAACCAGCTGCTAACACAATAAGTCTAAGGACATTTTTTTGTATCGCACGTATAGGCTGTAAAAAAAAAAAGGTTCAATTTCTGGCAGAATTTTTTTACCTCAGGAAAGAGAGGATTGATTTCTGAGGAGAAAAAAAGAATGAAAATGTGAAAAAAGAGAGAGATGAACACTTGTGAGAGTGAGAGAGAGAGCGAGGATGGAATGAAATAGAGAGCAATCATGGAGGAGGAGAGGAAGGGGAGGAGGGGAGGAGGGGAGGAGGGGAGGAGGGGAGGAGGCAGAGAGGAGTTCCCATCAATCAAAACCTGCTTTAGCCTGTCGTCCTGCACACAGCGAGGGTCCTATCAGGACAGGGTGTGTTTGTGTGTGTGTGTGTGTGTGTGTGTGTGTGTGTGTGTGTGTGTGTGTGTGCGCCTGCTCCTGTGTTTTCCATGTTCCTCAATCATCCTGATGCCCCAGCACACAGGAGGTACCAGCCAATCACAGCTCTCCGTTGAAGCAGCGGGCTGGCTCGCCTGCTCTCACTGATGTATAGCTGCTAATGTTTGTCATCACAGCTCCGGCCTGTTAAAGGATCAATACACCTCATTGATATCATATTAGTTTGCAGGTTTGATTAGATGTTTGATAAAAATCTCATAAAGACCAAACAGTGCAAACATTTATGACCACTACACGTCATGTTGGTCCCGTTCTGCCCGCTCAGTTTGACCCTGAATGAGCTCAAGATGGCGACAGTAACGTCACACAAACATGAAATAGCTTTCGAGAAAAAAGAAGTCCTGGAAGAATCCTGCATGAGGGCGTCTCAGCTGCAGTGATTCAGTGTCCCTGCAAAGTTGTGCACAGTAATTGACGATCAACCCAACAACAAAGAACAAAATGTGCCAAACTTTATTTAAATACATAAAGTATTTCTGGACTTCTTCGATAAATAAACAGTGCTAGATATCAAATAAATGAATTACATGAAGTATTATAAGTCTGAACATTTATATAAGACTTTGTAAATACTAGTTTGATCAAATATTCTTGACTGAACTTACTTTTCCAGTCAGACTTTTCGGCTCCATGTCAGGTTCATGGGTAAATGTGAGAGGAGGTTCAAGTCGACCTAAAGTCAGAAATGTTTGTCAGTCATGAGATCGCTGAATCAAAAACTGTGAGTGACAAAACAGGATGAAATAAAGTCAAAAAGTGATAATCACCACCGCTTACCTTGACACCCTAAATCTCCTGTCTGAAGATTTTATCTGCTCATGTAAAAAACACTCAAATTCATAAAGATGACTCTTTCTGAATGAAAACAGTAAATGAGACCGTCAGGGAGAAGATTTTAACACCTTAATCTGAAGCAACATTTGACTTACACCTTTTGTTTTAAAAAGCTTAAAGGGCGACACAAACTTTATTAGACACGTCGAACTGCTTTGATTTTTCCCTTTCTTCTTCCCCCGCCAATTTTTGAAGCTCAAAAATGAAGACGTATAGCAACCAGTTATCCAGATTTCCCGCACAAAAGCTGCAGTGTTCTTGCAGTTGCAGAACACGAAATTGAATACTCAGGGAATTTAAAAAACCACTGTCCAAGCAGAACTCATCACAATCAAATGACACTTGATCACGGGAGGCTGCTGCGCCTCTTCACCTGCAGACTCCTGCTCCAACACACTTTATCAAAAAGATAAAGATGATGAAGATGATTCTTAAACACAAAGCCCTCCTACTGGTCATTTAGGCTAATATCACTGCTTATTCAACTTTTACATGCATAGCAACCTTTTTCTAATATAAAGCTGGTTCTGCTGTGTTAGTCTGGCAAATGTGCGACTGCAGTGCATCTATGAAGCTTCAAACTAGACTAACACAACCTCTAAATATATACAACAACATGCTAAATTAGCCCGGATGTTGACATTCACTTTTTATCTGACAGTTTTATGAATGTTTAAAGTCTTTGTATGTGATTTTTCACACTTAAATATAATATAAATCAAGTATCTCCTCTGAAAATAACTCTGTGAGTCATGACTGTCTACAATGGGTGTAACACCCGAGTCCCACTGTCTGTGATGTTTTCAGAGTTTTCAGAGTCCTATCTTCACTTTGTTTACATCGCCTGGACGGCCGGCTGACTCCTCCCCTCGTGTATAAAAGTTGTTTAATTGAGGGACTAGAGAAAAGAAGAATAACATACTGTACTCACTGCTTAACTGTGTTTCTAGATCACGCTCATTTCAGGTAAATTTACATGCAGTGTGAAGATACCAGCATAATAAAGATCGCTAACATTAGCATGCTAACACAACAATGCAGCGCGAGTTGTTTTGGTTTCATGCTGGTGCTCAAGGGCGACATCTGCTGGATCAAAAAATCACATATAAAGCCTTTAAAAGCAGATGTATTTTGAGCATGTTTATAAGAACGTACAGGTGAGCACAAAGCACAGTGTGAGATGTTTTGTTTTGTCGGGCAGATCGGATACTGGAACGACGCAGACAAACTGGTGCTGATCCAGGACTCTCCGCTGCTTCCGAACGACACGTCCGGCATCGAGAACCGCACCGTCGTGGTCACCACCATCATGGTAAGAGGACATTGCATGTGCTCACCAACACACACACCAACATGCACACACATTTGCATGCAGTCGTATTGTGAACAAGCTGTGAAGGCAGGAGACTTTGTTTATGAAGTGCTGCTGCAGAACACCTTCAGGGTTTTTTGCAAAGTCAGGAGCCGATGGTTCAGTAGCTACACAAAAATCTCAGACATAAAATCTGCTTTTACATTTCAATAAAGATGTCAGCTGTGCCGTTTCCCTACAAAATCCTTCTCTTGTAAAGTACCTCAGCTCTTTCCAAGGTACTCTACAAGCATCTCTACTGTACAAGCAATTTGTGGATAACCTGCAGACCCGCAAAATTTGTCTTATTTGGCGCTGTATTTAATCAACGACAGAGGCTAAATATAGACATGCTGTGTGCAGAATCTACATTACACTTCCTTTTTTTTATAGCAGTGTAAAGCATCGCTATCGTAAAGTTTTATTACTGGCCTTTAGAGCTGAGTTAAAGGACTTCTTTGCTATTTTGGGCAGACATTAACACACTCTTGCGGGAGACCCCTCATATATAAAAGTTAGAGATACCGATTATCCAATTACACCGGCCTCAACAGACCAGACTACGGGAGTGGCATCAAGATTAGCCAAATTGATTTCAGCTCTTTCTCTACCACACGTTTCCTTAAATCTTCCACACATATCCGGCTTATTTCCTGAGGGATTTGAGAGGATGCATAGTCCCCGTGCGAGGATCAGATTTCAGCACTTTGCCCCCTTGGAGGCTCTTATGACGACTTTCTCAGAGGTCAGGGATCACACACACACAGTAGCTTTGCATTGCAACAAGCGGTGCAACATTAACAGTAAAAGAGACGCTTAAGGAAAGGGGGATTTGTTTTTATTACGCCTTTAGAAACTTTGATAAAACATCAGACAACTCCAGAAATCAACTACCGTCACTGGGAGTGTCTTTTTATTGCACCATAAACATCTCAAAACGCAGTCGAACAGCTCCATTACCAGCTGCTGTTACCGAGGCTTTTGTATCAGAATTTCACAGGGACAAAAAAAAAAAAAAAAAGTTCAACAGAGCTACTAGATCATTTTACACATGATTGAATGAATGGCCTTTGCATGGCATGTGAATCTCTGGCTGTAGCAGCGACTCTGACATGGCTGACTACAGTAAAAACAGCTGAGAGGAGGAGGAGGAGGAGGAGGAGGAGGAGGAGGAGGGAAGGAGGGTGGGAATGGAGAGTCACAGCTCAGCACAATCCTCCCTCTTTTCAGCCCCTGATGACGAACCCCATTTTAAGAAACTGAGCCCCAGTTGGACGCAAGCAGGATATGAAAGCCCCTTTAATGGGAGAGTGATGGACACAGCAGCCCCGAGCCAAAAATGAAGCCCTAAAGACACACTGGGCGAGTGGAGAGACAGAGAGACAGAGAGAGAGACTCGGCAACTATGTTAATGGACAGAAACACTGAACGAGAAATGGAGCCACTCAGAGCCGTAATGGAGCCCCTCGAGAGGAAAATGAAATGCAAATGGAAGGGGGAGAAAGACACTGTCTCTCTTTTTTTAAGGACGCTGCTTGCGGACGGACACCCGTTGAGGCTTTAATGGGTCCCCAGCTCCTAACCCGCACAGCGTCTGTTTACTAGCATAAACAAGCTCCCACTACACCTGTTTGTGTGTGTGTGTGTGTGTGTGTGTGTGTGTGTGTGTGTGTGTGTGTGTTAGCTTCATGCATCGTCATGCTCCCCGCTGTGTTTTGTGTGGCTTCAATCCCCTCCTTGATTTGAATTTGTAATTTTTTTGGAGGAGAAGAAGATCTATGGACCCCGAACTATAAAAGTGAAGCGCCGCCAGAATGTGATTATACATTATGTCTCACTGAATGCTCTAAATCTGTCACTTTCCTCCGACTACCTTGCTCTACCGCTCGATACATTACACACTCCGAGGCGCTTCCTGTAAGCTTTAACACAGCTTAGAAAGACTAATGCGCTCATAATCATCCCAGTTCATATCCATCAAGCTTTTTATGCGGCATGATATTATAGTTTCATTATGACGGCTGCGTTTCACACACACACTTTTAATGTTCATGAAAGTAACGTTTGTTTAGCAGAAACTTAATGAAGTGTCTCAGCATTGTCTCTCTTCACAGCTGCCTCTGTGTCTTATAGGAAAACGTCTGAGCAGCTGTGATAAAGGACATGTTCAATATGTGCAGAGAGAAGCTTGTAAACAAGTCATCATGCTGCCGATTGCACAACACAGATATTAGCTCAAAAAGTTAACTAACCAGAACCAGGAGGCAACGATTAACGTAAGCTTTGGTGAACCCTCTGCAGCTCTCATACGAGGAAAAGACTAAAGAGGAAGCAGAGATGAGATGGTTAACTTTTTGTTTTCATCTTTTCTGGAACATAAGTTATACGTTGATGTGCTGTTGATTTCCCACAATGGTGTCCAGAGATCTAAGTAACTTTTAAGTGTTATTGGTTGATACTCTTTTTTGAGTACATTAAAATGTGATGTAGAAGACGCTACTTGTTGTGCCAATTTTTTCATCTAAAAAGTGGGCTGCAACAGTATACAACCCAAGTGCAGCAGCAACAATCAGCTACTGCAAGCGACCTCACTCAATGAAAATTTTGCCCCCCATGTATTGCAAGCCGGTCGCTTTGCTGTGTAATATTTATAATGGGATTGAAACGCTGGTTTGATTGAATTGACTCTTTATTTAATGACATCGAGAAGAGCCAGCAGAAGTGTGCAGCGTGCCTCTTGGTGAATTGGTTTTTGGGCTGTTGGTCTAGTACTTAACAACCATCTATGTTACCGTAGGCTGAGAGCTCAGCTATCGCACCCAGTATCTTAGAAGATTGTAAACTCACATGGCAAAAAAAAAATAAAAATGATGATACTGGAGAGAGCTTCAGAGTTGCAGAACAAGCTGCACTCTGCGGTCTTTGCAGAGTGCAATGGAAATCGCTATCAGGAAGACACTGTCTAAACACAAGTTTAGACAGCCCCCCCCCCCAAGATAAAGAAAAGTGTCTTAAATGCCTTTGACGCTTACATTCAGGATTTTATGGTAACATATTAACACAAGAGGATGAAGCTGGAGAGGAACGATGGTTGAATCAAAAACAATGGCTAATAGGCAAGACGCCTCTAAATTCAGACAACTGTGGGAAACTAGTTTTTTAAGCTAATGAAAAAGGTGCAAATAAAAAAATGAACAGTTGACTCTTAGAGTGACATCGAGTTAAAAACAAACACTGAAGCGTTTGTTCCCACAAAAAAGCGACTTGTCAATCAGAAGCCACGGCCCAAACAGAACCCAGTTTCAGCGCCTGTTTCTACCTTAAAACATTCCCATAGTTTATAAAGTGAACTTCATGCTGTCTTGAATAAGACCTGGTAATTAAGACTGTAAACTCAATGTGATATAATAATTTAGGCAGATAATCAATTGAGCAGTGCAGGCACGCTCTTGAAGACTTAAGGCTCTGCACATGGGCTGCACACACTAAACCACTAGTACCGGCGCCACTCACTTACTTTATAATTGTCTTGCAGAAGCACTCACGACTGACTGCTTGTGTTCAGCCTTTTTTAGAGACTAAGGTTAAAGCTCAGGATGTAACACTGTGTCTGCTTTGATTGAAGCACTGCGACAATCTAAAAACCTTTAACAAGGCTGCAGCAGCCATGTCGAGTGCACTTCATCGTAGAGAAAAAAAAAGGGGACAGTGGTCATTTGCGAATATTATTTCTAAATTGTGCTTTAAATGTGTTGCACCCGTTTTCAATGTCATGCGACCAAATTGAATCAAATAAAAATGTAATTAGTGCCTCGAATGGCTGCCGATGACTGAGACTCACAAAATGAGTCACTTACTGAGAAGCAGAGTTGTGTGTTGGCTTCATGAAATGTTTTTTTTGTGGTCGAGCTATTATACAATATGGACAACCGTTTTGCTGCCTATTAGCGCTCATGTTCAAACAGAATGAGCCGCAGATTGTTTATCTTACATAATACACAAAACACTCACAAACAGAAGCGAACAGGCAGTTTTTTAGGAAGCTCGGTCTCGCAGCGTTCGACCTGTGTGTGTTTATGTGTGAACACATGCTTCTTAGACATCGAGTGAGCCTGTAGTGTGTGTGTGTGTGTGTGTGTGTGTGTGTGTGTGTGTGTGTGCGTGTGTGCTTTAAATGGCATGTTAATTAGTCTCATTAGGCGATGATTGAGGCAGTGAGGCCGGGATTATTGACCAGCCTTGTCAGCCACGCTGGGCTTTTCCACAATGACCTCTGAAACACTGCTGTCTTCTCGTGCCTGAAACACTGACTGGCGTCCTTTATCCCCCCGCCACTCCCCCTCTGCTCCTCCGGGCTGCCAGCACCGTCATGCACCCTGCTTTCATAAATCATAAAGATGGAAGCTGTGTCAGGGCTCTCATATCATCCCAAACATCTGCGAAGATCAACTTTGTAAATTAAGTTCCATTATTGATATGGTTGAGATTCATTAAAGATATTATGTGCAACATTTACATGTATTCATTTCTGTGTGACGGGTTATCAATTATCTTAAAAAATGGGACTTTCTCCATCTTTCTCTGTGTCCTCTAAAAGCCTGTGGATTTATTTCTATGTAAATGACTCTTGACTATTTGTCCTGGGAGATCCAAAGGATGTGATGTTTATGCATGCTCAGGACTGAGACGTCTCTCGTAAGCTGTGAATGTGCTAGAAGTGGGCAGGTCTAGATTTAGTTAGCTTTGTTATGCATCTGCTTACATTAAAAGTGATTAGTATCCACCTAACGAAGTTCAATTTGGTGTCTCTCATGTCTGTTTTTTGTGGACATTGAGGGTACTTGCCGTAGACTGTCGAGCAAAAGCAACAGGCTGCACTTGTAACAAGAGGCCTGCAGGGGGCAGAATGCTGCAGGGCTGCCAGGGGAGGGCAGTGCTTGGAGAAGAGAGAGCCATTGTAAGAGGTTTCAACGGCTGATGTAGGAGCTTAAAGCCGTCTCGTGATAATATAGTTTCATATCGAGAAACACAAGAAAAGCCGTTTCGCGCCCTCTGCAGATTTATCCTAGGATACCTTCAACATACGTTTACATCATGAGCTGAAACTTTTCCCACATTAAGTTTGGGTATCCGGCATTGTAAGACTATGGTCGAGTTTTTAAATGTGGATCTGCATAATAGGTCAACTTTAAAGACAGTTTCAGAGAAAATAAGAAGAACAGTTTGGGGTTTTCTGTCACCTACTGTCATTTACCATAATTTTAAACTCATATGAATCAATTAATTTTTTTATTTATTTTGGTGTCAAGTCATTTACACGACCCATCCCACATGGAATCATTCTGACACATTGTCTGAGAGTCAATCAAGTAATAGACTTTGATAATCCACTATCAGTGGGCAGTGCTGTATGTTTGTTTAGTTCACGCCCTGCTGCATACTCCTAATTACTTTTTTGAAATGTAATCCAAATACCACAAACCTCAACAGGACCCTCCTGGTTATGATGTTTGCTGGCTGGTTTCTTGGGCTATGATCAAAAACTGATAAAGGTTGCATGTGCATTCTGTTGCGGGAGAGAGCTCCATTTAGCCCCGGGCCTCCTGAAGCAGATTCATCTGGACCTAGCTTTGAAGAATTTAGATTTTAATACATTTATGTTCATCATTATTTCAGGAGGTATTAACCTCAGTGTTCAAAATGACAAAATCATGGATACTTAATCAGTTTTCCTAAGTTGTTGTAATGACTTATTATGAATTCATTGTGATGCATAATAACCCTCTTTAGGATCTTTTGTGTTTTGTGGCTTTTCTGCAAGGCACATGTTTGCTAAATAATAAATCGTTCACACTAACTAAGATTGGAAGTTTTAATGCAAACATTTTAAAAGATATATTTCTGATTATGAATTTCGACATGCAACAGTTCCATTGTGCTTTGTTCCATGTTTTTGTTTCTGCCGCAGGCTAAGCCATGCATTATCATTCTCCCCTCACTGTTGAGTTTTTGTTACCTTTGCTTTGGCCCAGGGCAAAGTCAAGCAATCACATCTCTCGAATAAATAGCTCCTGTTATCAATATGCAATATGCTGCCTTCCATGACAAACATAATTTATTTAGAAATATGACCCCCGAAAACCAGGCGAGGTTTACATTCAAATCACTCTCTTCCCTCCCCGGTGGGGCTAATGATCTATAACCTGCCGCGGTCACAACTGATGTAGCGGCGGCCGATTACCCAAAGTGTTCAAGTCGAGTCACACTCGTTTTTAGATATTAAGCCATTCAGTCTGACTGCAGCTCATTCCTCACTTCCCTTCAGCTTTATGTCTGCCTCCTTTTCTGCTTAGTCATACTTTACTCTCACTTTTTTTTCACTTTGAGTCTCTGTGTATCATGCATCATGTTAATTCTTTGAAGATTTTTTTTTCAGCTTCCTGTCTGAATCCCAGTCTGAGCTGTGCATATGAAGCACAAGCTGTCATTATGATTACACATGCATCTCTTTCTATTTTACTCTAAATTATCTTCAGCAAACAAAAAAAAAAAAGAAGTATCTCACAGCAGTGGGGATCAGGCCTATAGTCAAATTTAAAGCTGAGACATGCTTTTCTCCCCCTTTGATACGCCCAGGTGGTAGTGGAAAGTAGATGTTAAAAGTTTCAAAAGTGAAAAATCATTTCGACATTTTCGACAGAAAATGTGAGATGACAGAACACTTGAATCATTTCTGCAGATACTAAGAAACATTTTCCTGGTTGTATCATCATGACAAAATATGACAACTGTGTTTGAAGTGTTCTAGTTCTTAAGAAATATATTGATATAAGTCACCTACTGCCACTGTGCATATCAATAAGATGCAGCATATTTCTGATTGAAGCTTAAAGGTCACATATTATCCTTCTTCTCAACGAGTTTCAATAAGTCTCAGAGCTCCCCAAAATGAAGTCTGTGAAGTTTCTTGTTCTAAATCCACTCTGATCCTGTATTTGATCATGCCTATAAACCCCTCTATTTCAGCCCTACTCAGAACAGGCTGTTTAAGTGTCTGTACCTTTAAATATGTAAATGAGCTGTGTCTGACCACGCCCCCTCTGGAAGGGCTCGGGTGTCTTTCTCGCTCCATGTCCTATTGTTTACGGTGAGAAGGCAACTCAGAGGGCAGAACAAACACCTAGCTGTGGGAGTGTCACCCACCTGGGGGAGGGGTTACTGCCCTTTGTGATGTCATGAGGTGAAAATCTCCAAACAGCCTGTTTGAGCACACATTTTCTGAAAAGTGGAGCAGGCAAAAGATGGAGAGGATGGACTTTTCTCATCATTGGGGGGTTTGTAGACGGACTAGAGACACATATTAGTGTTAAGGAACATGGAGAAGTGGATTTTGAATAATATGTGACCTTTAAAACTCTGTTATGGGGGCAGGTAACAATGAATGACGCCAATCATTATTTTAAAATCTCCAACTTAGAAAAGTTGTATGGTTTTTTAAATGAATTTAACTAATATTGCACCATGTTTATTACCAACTACAACAACAAAGCTATCACATCAGACATATAGAAGTCATCCGATCATCACCTCACCAGCTCACCCCTTCATTTTCAGGATTTTCGCATAAGAGTGAAGCACTTGTTAAGGAATTGCATAACCATGAAAGTTGTTCCCTGCTGTACGGAACATTTTAACCGTTAGGATTTAAATCCCTGTTTGCTAGCTAGCAATCCATTAGATGTTTTAAGAGTTTGTCTGCCATTAAATGTTAACGAATTACCTGAAACCATCAATATGAATGTACATTGCATCACCTGCATGCTCGTACACTAGACACAAACACAACAGGGGCCTGCTCATGTAAACATTGCTCCATAGCACTCCTAGTGGTGGAAAACTCCACAGGCTGCCTTTAACTTCAGCCCTAGTTGGTACCAATGAGCTGCCGTTCCTGTTTGTCATCTTGTTGTCTGTTGCTGTGCAAGGCGTCATGTCCGTGTGTCTGTCTGTCTGACGGTCTGGTTCACTGGTTATGGTCCCCTTGTGTAGGAGGGTCCCTATGTGATGCTTAAGAAGAACTGGGAGATGTACGAGGGAAACGACCAGTACGAGGGATACTGCGTGGACCTGGCCTCCGAGATCGCAAAACACATCGGCATCAAGTACAAAATCTCCATCGTCCCGGATGGAAAATACGGCGCCAGGGACTCGGAGACGAAGATCTGGAACGGGATGGTCGGGGAGCTGGTGTACGGGGTAAGAGCTTTGGTTTTTACTCTTTGGACAGACATTAACTTTTTATCCATGCTTCATTATCTCATTTACACTTTTTCAAGCTGTCACTGAGATTAATGGTGATAATTAGAGACAATGATGTGTCTCTGTCAAATCTTTAAATGAAAATAAAACTGTGAGACGGCTTGGCTTTCATCATCTTCAGAGCTGAAAATGAAAATCAGTCACTGGAGTCGAGTTTCATTCAAAGTTTAAGCAGAGAGTCCGTGACAGCGAGATATTTCAAATGGAACATTTTGTCCCCCATTAGTCACCCTGATTACTTTATGATTATCACAATAAAGTCATAAAAAATGTGACTTACATCTGCGCTGCTTAAAAACGGTTATTGGAATTCTGAATGGAAAACAACTTTCAATCAATTCTCAAATAAAAAACCTCGGCCAGAACATATAAAGTGATTTGTTGATTTGTTAGGATGCCCATTAGCTGTACCCGAGAGCGCAGCTTTACTTCCTGCGGTCCCACATTAATAATAAAGTAATAGTGGTCCCCATAAAAATCTGGGTAAGAAACATAGCTCAGAGGATACATTAAATTTGATCAGAACAACAACTGAGTTCTGTCATACTCTCTAATCTGCTGCTACGAGTTTATTTTATGAACATAGATGTAATTTTCATACTGATACTAATTTGTACGGTGGCCCTGAAGTGCACACCGACAAATCACAAAACACACAACGACATTAACTTCTCACAGAAAAGGTAGGTACCTGTGGTTGACAATAATCGTCGCTGATTGGACGAACACCATGTCCGTCTTTTTGACAGGAAGTAAATGCTTCTTTACGCCTTTGGAGCCAGGCAGAGAAAAGTTAACAAAGGAGGGATGTATTGCCCAAATTGTGGCAAAATATTCTCTTGATAGTAGAGACTTAATCTGAATCACCGGTTGCGCTCATGCAGCATATCCTTCCAGTTAAAAAGACGGTCCATAGCAGCAGGCCGTCCCCTCCAATGATCCACAGTAACCTAGGAGACGAGAGCTCCCAGACCTGAACAAAACAACAGAGTTTCAAACATCGTATAAGAAGGGGGACACAAACTGAAGTTGAGAGTATTTCATACTAAACAAGAATCACAACAACCCACAACCATAAATCCCAATCTTTTTCAAAAATACTGATGGTCATGTATCATCTTCACTTTGTTTATCACCTTATTGTTTAACTTTATTTTAATGCACTAAGTGAACAACATATTTTCAAATCTTTTTCTTCCACCGCTTGACTCCTTTATCAGATAGACAAGTTCTGTTCTGAACTTTGTATTTTTGAAGGAGCTCTTTCTTATTTCAGACAACCTCTGAACAAACTTTGGAGCACTTTGGTTTTTACCAAGCGGAAACCTCCAGTCAAAAATGAAGCCAATGCGGAAGTGCAAAATCCTGCAGTTACTTGAGTGTCCACTAGAGGCTGGCTCCAAGAACACAGGAAGTCACATACGCACCACTGGCAAAAAAGCCGTTTTTACAACATAAATAAACATGTTTACAGCCTGGTACAAAAAAGAAATCGGTCTAATTAGTTATTGTCATCACTGGCACACTCTGTACGGGGGGGTGGTTGACAGGTTGACAGCTAAATCATAACATTAGAGATCATGTTCATTAGTAAACAGTTGGTGGAAATACTGCTGTTGGTGGAAACGGTATCAAAGAACCAACACATACAAAGACGTGTGTTCAGTTTAGGAGAGGAGCAGGTAGATACCCTCTGTAACATAATGATATGAAGGCTTGTTCTTCCTGCTGATGGAGTGTGTTAGAGCCCCGTTTAATAATTGACAGTAAGTTTAAAAGAATCCATACTACCTAAATCCCTTTCCATACTTTGTTACAAACAGAGTGTAGCTGTAAGGATTAAATGGACGATACATCTCTACCCAAACACTTCTTCATCTGCAGAGTTTGATTTAATCCCTGAATCTTTGAAACACAGCTGAGTGTGTGTGTTGTTTGCTGTGCAGATAATTAAACCCATCTGAAATCTAACTGTAAACACACTATCAATCTCTTCAGGGTATTAATGCTCGCAGGAAGGAAAGGAATTAGTAGGGGTATTAGGTCCGAGCTTTAGGAGGAGTTGAAGAGGAGGAGTGTAGGTGTGGAGATCGTTAAAGAATCTCTGAGGTGAAGATTTGATTTGGGCGGTGAGTGGTCTTTCTGCTGCTTACCTTGTTGTGGGGATCAAAGTGGATGCAAGCTTGTGGTATGTGATGCTGTTTGGATGTTATGGCCTGGAGAGACATGACAAGTGAGGAAGGAGAGGTTCATGCTTGTTAGGTAGAGATAGAAAGGAGAATGCATGAACAGATTCTCACACTTGATGTTTTTGAAGAAAAGAAAAAGGATACAAAGAGAATTGTAAAATTCTACAATTCATTGTGCAAATCCCTTCTTATTTGCAGGGCATTACTAATTGTGTATCAGTAAGTGTATTATAAAGTTAATCTTCAAATAATGTTAAGAAAGTAAGAGCTACAATTCCACAATTCTTCAATTCATTGGTGCTTTAATCCAAAGCGACGTACATCAGAGAGTAAGTACAGCACAATCAAGGATCTAAAGGAGGAAACAACGTCAGGAAGTTCAAACCAACAGCTTTAAAAAGTCTGATTGGACACACAGGTGTTGACAACATCATTAAGTGTGAAGGTGTTCATAAAGAGCTGTGTCTTTAGCTTTTTCTTAAAGGTGCAAAGACTCTGCAGATTGAATGGAGTTTGTTAGTTTGTTCCGTCTTTGATGCTCCCTCCCTTTCACTACCATCTGAATCTAGCAGACGGGTAAGAGTGCTGGGAAACAGTTTAGTATCTTATCAACACTCTGGGTTGTGTCTCGTGCAGATCTCTGTGTTGATCCTTTTTGCAAAAAGTCTTCCAATAAATACAAAAGCCAGCATTGTCATTGTACAATCTTTAGTTTTCAGATTTCCACCACACACCAAACGGTAGTGTTGTAGTCAAGATCACACTAACTGAGACCAAGACATACCTGAGACCAGAGTTCCCCCGAGGCCAAGACAAGACCAAGACATTTACAGATCTAGACTGTGTCAAGACCAAGGCAGGGCGAGACCGAGAAGAGATTAAGACCATAAATACCACAGAAAAATCATCAGCAAGTCACTCACTTCGACTGTAACACGGGGAAAGTTGCAGCCGTAACCGGGGGATAAGAATCAAATAATGAATGAAATGAAGTTGTGAGTTATTTTAGACAGAGGCGTTTTCCTTCTAATGACAGTAACGACTTGAGAAAAAAGCCTGTCAGCGGTGGATTTGATTTAAAATCCAGAGTGCGCCCAGTCTGAGCTTGAGACAAGGCCGAGTGAAAATGCTTTTTGATTCCGAGATGAGACTTTCAAAAAGTGGTCTGGAGATCGGTCTTGAGTGCTACAACAGTACAAAATGGTCCCTGTTGGAAATCAAAACCAATGACCTCTGTACATGAAGCACCTGATTAACAAACGGAGCAAAAACCAGCGCCCCAGAACAATCGTTATTTATCAAGTTTTCAAGTTTGCTACACTTTAGATCTGCAGAAAATGGTGTGTTTAGTATTCACAGAAGTAGCAGAGCAATTTGTTTCAGATAAATTGAGACAAAAAGGGGGGGGGGGTTGGGGGATACATTTTTCCTGTCCTCTTTTTTGTTGTGAGTTAAGTGGCATTTTCCACAAAGAGGCATTTTGTCACGCCTGCGTCTCCTTTGTGCTGCAGTGACTCACTGAGAAGTCGACTGCGGCGAGCTGTGAGCGAGGAGAGGTATACGGTTCGGGGAAGTGTCAGGACTGATCAGGCAGTACAATGCACTGTAGCTGTAAAGACTAACCAGGATGGTCGAAAGCACATGCAGGAGTAAAGAGTGCAGTCTATTTTCAACTTCATAACAAGCAGTGAAAGCTGTAACACTTCCTGTCTGGAAGATTTTCTCAGAGCAGAGGAAATGATGGGTAAAGACCCTTACATATAGATGACCCAACAGGAAAGAAACCCCGACCGTAACAACCTGTCAGTTCAAGAGCACAAATTGTGTTTTCTTATTCCTAACTGGTTTATCTGCCTTTTGAAGTCTCTGATAAGCTGAATGTTTAATTTATTTTCTTCTTCAGATTTAAAGGGCATATATTAATACTCCTTTCTAACCAGTTTAAGTCTCAGAACTCCCCAAAACATGTCGGTGAAGTTTCTTGTTCTAAATCCACTCTGATCCTGTATTTGATCATGTCTATAAACCCCTCTATTTCAGCCCTGCTCAGAACAGACTGTTTCTGTGTCTGTACCTTTAAATATGTAAATGAGCTGTGTCTGACCACGCCCCCTCTCTGGAAGGGCTCGGGTGTACTCGGTGCTTTCTCGCTCCATGTCCTGTTGTTTACGTTGAGAAGGCAGACTCAGAGGGCAGAACAAACACCTAGCTGTGGGAGTGTCACCCACCTGGGGGAGGGGCTACTGCCCTTTGTGATGTCATGAAGGGAAAATCTACAAACGGCCTGTTTGAGCACACATTTTCTGAAAAGTGGAGCAGGCAAAAGAGGGAGAGGATGAACTTTTCTCATAATTGGGGGGTTTGTAGACAGACTAGGGACACATTAGTGTTAGAAAAACATGGTGAAGAGTATTTTGCATAATATGAGACCTTTAAAAAATAAATGTTGATGGTAAAATGCTGAGGTTAAAATATCTAATGTTCTAAACACAACTCACCCATTTCCTCCATAAATGAATACCAAAGACATCCAGACAGCTTTTACTTGTAAAGATGAATTCACTGTTGACGACATGTTTATGCATTATTACACTTCAGTCCTCACACCTTCATTAGTAAACAGACAAACAGCAGCTGTGATGTAAACATAGCCTTGGAAAACAAACACGTGCCAGGTGCTACTGGCTGTAATTGGTGTTTTTTTATGAGCTAGGTTAATATTGAATGTGTTTCCCAGATGTTGAGATTTTTAAGTGTTGAGATGTGGACCATATTATGCACTCTCATCTGTTCCCCCCAGATACATCAAAACAAACATGACAGATTTATCTCATTCTGGGTGAACATAAGTATACGAGCGTGTCACAGAACGTATAAAGAGAATTTCAACAGGTTAAAAAATATGTTGAAGACAACTGGGGAAAAGTGTTGCAGCTTTAGATGGAAAATAAAAACATAGAGGAGGAACAGTGTCAGTGGAAAGCCTTCAAAGAAACAGTCAAACTAGACAACTAGACTTGTGCACCACTGTGTACCATCCAGTATCTCGTGAGTGATTTGGGGCACTGGCAAAGCATTCTCAGGGAACGTCTGAGGACACGGGAGCTGTCAGCACTTTCCCCCCCCCCATCTTAGACCATTCATTTCTGCCCGTTTTCTCCCTGAAAAGCCGCGCTTCCACAAAAGCCCTGCCTCCTTTTAACCTGCTGTGTATCTGAGCACGCACTGAACGCCCCGAGGCTGTCATCTTAGCATTCTGCTGAGAATGAAAGAACTTAAATCTCTTTCATTTTCTCTCCCTCGTCCCTGTTTTTTTTTTTCTCCTCCTTTCCCCTGCCTCCTTCAGCGTCAGATGGCCGTAATGAAACTTTAAATTCTTGCTGATATTAAGCCCCCTGTGCTCCCACGCCAGACCCGACAAGGTCACAACTGTTGCTAAGTCACTAACTGTAATCAGGTTTGTGGATTTTCAACCGAGCAATTGTGCACTTTTTGCCTCAGCTGCAGACCTCAGAGATGGCTGCTGTATCCCATTTTCACCTTCCTGTGCTGTAAGCATATTTCTCGGACACATTATTTTATCCTTCTTGCTGATTCCTCCTGCAGTTTCAGCTAAGCCAGCTTTCAGCTTTTTTTTTTTTTTTGGGCGGGGGAGGTGTAGATTTACTTTTTCAATTTCTTTTCTTTCTTCCTCTGTCTTAACTTGATCACTCTGAGATGAATTCATCAAGCGTATAAACTCGAGATTTGCTCAGTCAAGGGAGAAATGACAGCTGAGGAGAAAAAGAATAAAAGGGTAATTGTTGTTGTTTTTGTTTTTCTGCTGGCTGGCTGGCTATTGGCCTCCAGCATGTCGTGTCTGTGACTAAGTGATGTGTGATTGTTGCACCGCCCCGGCTTTTGGAGAGATGATCCATCATTGCATTTGTTTATCTGTCATCATTTGGAATTCAGAGTTGCTCTCAGGGAGGGGCTAATCAAATTCCTTTTTTCCTTCCTCCACAGAAAGCGGAAATCGCTGTGGCCCCTTTGACTATCACGTTGGTCCGGGAGGAAGTGATCGACTTCTCGAAGCCCTTCATGTCGCTGGGCATTTCCATCATGATCAAGAAGCCCCAGAAATCCAAACCGGGGGTGTTCTCCTTCCTGGACCCGTTGGCCTACGAGATCTGGATGTGCATCGTGTTCGCCTATATCGGCGTGAGCGTGGTGCTCTTCCTGGTCAGCCGCTTCAGCCCGTACGAGTGGCACACCGAGGAGCCTGAGGAAGGCACCGACGGTGTGCCAAGTGACCAGCCCCCCAATGAATTTGGTATCTTCAACTCCCTCTGGTTCTCCCTGGGCGCCTTCATGCAGCAGGGCTGTGACATCTCCCCTCGGTAAGACATTCTCAAAGCTCAAAGTTATTTTTAAAAAAGCACTGTAGTTTATAAAATGTTAGCTATTTGTTCCTCAGGCTTGTGGACACATCACACAACTTTCAGGTTGATTATAATCACAATGTGCCGTCACCTCTAATTGGATTGTGTCTGTGTTAGTCTGAGCAAGAGCTTTAATGTCTCGCCTGTCAATCTGGTCCCGTCATTATTATTCCAGGGTTGTTTGATTGACATAAATGAAAGCCGAGCAAGTATCGACGGCTTCCTGTGATGAGCAGAAACACCCCTCAGTCTGTTTTTCAGAGTTGGTGTTCTCTTTCCTTTAGCGCTAAAAATCAAAAGATGCTAAATATTTAGTTTGGCTTATGTGTGTGACAGGAGATGGGAAAAAAAAGTTGACAAATGATTGTTGCTATGAACAGAGTTTAAATATTTGACCACTCCTGACAGCTGGCTGTATATTCATCTCGAGCCTGAGTCACAACTGACCTTAACAAAGAAGCCGCAGCTTGTTATAAAATGATTTTTTTCCCAGTTTAAAGGTCACATATTATTCTAAACACACTTTACGATGGTTTAGAACACTAACATGTGTCTCTAATCCGTCTACAAACTCCCAATTATGAGAAAAGTCCATCCTCTCCGTCTTTTTCCTGCTCCACTTTTCAGAAAATGTGTGCTCAAACAGGCCGTTTGTAGATTTTCCCTTAATGACATCACAAAGGGCAGTAGCCCCTCCCCCAGGTGGGTGACACTCCAACAGCTAGGTGTTTGTTCTGCCCTCTGAGTCTGCCTTCTCACCGTAAACAATAGGATATGGAGCGAGAAAGCACCGAGTACACCTAAGCCCTTCCAGAGAGGGGGCGTGGTCAGACACAGCTCATTTACATATTTAAAGGTACAGACACAGAAACAGCCTGTTCTGAGCAGGGCTGAAATAGAGGGGTTTATAGACATGATCAAATACAGGATCAGAGTGGATTTAGAACAAGAAACTTCACACACATGTTTTGGGGAGTTCTGAGATTTATTTACACTTCTTGAAAAAGAGGATAATATGTGACCTTTAAGTTTTTATTGACTTTTAGTTTCCATGTTGTTGAACTTAAACAATTTATGGACCAAAACTAGAATTGAGATAAGATACAGTTCTTCTTTAATCTCTTAACATTTAATCAATAAGATTGCTATGTATTGTATTATCTCAATTTTATGCGTTACTTTAACTATGTTAAAATTGCATGAGTTATTGCTGGTCAATCTGATTGAAGTCCTGACGTAAGATTTGGAATAACATAATTCTGTTTTTGATTTAGAAGATTTTATTAGCATGAAGATGAAAACAAAAAGGCTTCAACACATTAGAATGAATAGTTTGAGCTAGTTTCTTCCTGAGGTGATGTTGTTGATCCTTGAAAGTATCTCTTATGGCTGACATGAAGTCATCCTAATAATCGCAGCCTTTTTGTTTGCTCTTTAAGTGTATGTAAGTTATTACACATGTACAGCTGCATATGTGAGATATAGCGTGCATGAAGACTTTAGTTCCAAAGCTAACTTAGAGGACGTTAAATATCAAAGCTAATGTCTCAAATGTTGCTATAAAGTGTCTGCTACTCATACTGTATGTGTACCTGTACATCCAACACTCCACTCATTATAGGATATGTGTCACTTTATTGGGTTATCAAGATTTTATATGACTTTCCTAAAGACATGAGAGTGATGTTTGTTTCTGAACAGCTCTGGTTTGGGTGAATAGGGTCTTAAATCTGCCTTTAACAATATGATATTAATTTGTCTTGGTGTCTCGGGCTTCGCAGCGTGGCATCATTTTACGTGCTGCATCATGTTGTTTGTTGCTATTTGTGTCGTTCAATGTTCTCTTGCCGTTTTTGCACACTGTTTTTGTATTGTCTGTTTTCGTGATGACCTTGTGTCTAACATTAACGAGAACAAGAGACACTTCAATCAATCAAACTTTATTTATAAAGCACCTTTCAGACAAATTAAATTGTAGTTCAAAGTGCTTTACAAGAGTGCAGAAAAGTTATTGATGAAAAAGTAGTTTAGAAAATCATTGAGAGACTTAAAGCAGATATTGCCCTCTACTGGTTAAAACATGTATTGCAACATATATTTTTGTCAAATTGATTTAAATTGCCCTTATTTTTATTTATTTTTAAGTTGCAAATAAGGGAAATTAAGGTCCATTTGAGCTATCGTTACATTCCTACAAGGGCCGCACAATTCTTGTTAAAACGTAAATCACGATTTGAGAATTGAGATTCTCCTTTATTTTAAAAAATTTAAGTGATCTGATCAATTTTTATGTACCAATTTATGCCTTTGCTACACGGACTTGTGAATCGTGGGTACAGATTTGAAAACATCCCTTTATTTTCTTCTCTACTGGTCCTCCGGGGGGGCTCAACTAAAACTCCAGTTTTTAAAACATTTGACTTGTGTCTCAATTATCACAACAGGTGAGCCTCATGTGGGGGAGGTTTGTTATCAAAACCAAGAGATAGCCGAATCACACGGGCAGCTGGAAGAAAAAATATTAAAACGGAGGCATGAGAAGCTGCAGTTTTGGGTTAAAAACAGGAGCATTGCACCTCAATTTGGTGCAATAATGGGAGGGACAAACGGAGAGCAGACTTCTAAGTCTTGCTCACTTTTGTGAGGGTGGAAATCTGCTCTGAATGCAAAGGGAAATAGGAGCAAGTAAATCGTCATGACTCAGAAATTAGATTGCATGTACGTGTGAATCGAGGTCGCAATTATTTTTTTACGCTTTATCATGTAGCCCTAATCTGTACTTATTGTAAACCTGTTGAGTTTGTGTGTGTGGTGTGTGTGTGTGTGTGTGTGTGTGTGTGAGAGAGAGAGCGAGAGTGTGTTTGTGTGTGTGTATTGATTTTCTCTCTCCCTCTCTCTTTCTTCAGCCACATTGCTCTTCTCTGTCTGACTTGCATACACAATGTCGTCTGCTTGTTAGAGAATAAGGATCTCTCTGCGTCGCTCATCTCCAGCGGTTGTCGCTCTGCGCCTCATGCCTGTGTGTGTGTTTGAGCTGCATCTACATGAGTCAAGTCTGAAACCCGTCTTTCACCGTTATCTGTTACTTTCTCTCTCCCCCCTTGGCCAAATGTACTGGACTCATTAACCCAGAATCCCTTGGGTTTTCAGACCCGCAAGGCAAGCTGTAGTCCAGCGAGCATGGTGTGCTTTGGTGGAAGGGTGGAGAAAGTGGGGCTCATTCCTGTGTTCTTCTTCTCCAGCTTTTAAGATTGTCTTTGTTTTTCCAATCAAAGATCAGCTCCCTGTCCGTCATCACACTCTCGCTTTCTCTCTGCTGACAACATAAAAACTAGTAAAGCCTGTATTTCTTAATGGTTTCTCATGTCTCTAAAAGCCTTTTCTCAGCAGCTCTATGAATGGATCTGTCAAGCTTAAAGTTTGTTTCAGTTATTTTAAGATTACTGCTCAAACGCCTCCTATAGTTATTTAAAGTCTTTCATATAATTCTCTGCTTTAAACCCTTATGGATCTTAAGAGTGTAATAGAGTTGGTTAAGATTTCCTGGAGATGAAAGGAGGATCAAAACACGCCTGTATCTTTCAGCCTCCCTCCCTGCAGAGGAAAGCAGAGAAACACACACAAGATGGAGGATCCCGAGGTACAATAATAGCCCGGCGTCACGTAAGCAACCTATAGAGGAGACTATAGAGCGCCTGTGTCTGTTTTTTTTAAGGCCACTCATTTAAGGAGTAGACTCGCTTTGTTCACACTCACCACCATAATAACCACCCCTGCCTGCCACATCTCCGCCTGTGTACTGCAGATAAGGACTTTAGAGCCGCACAACAATGTCTGCATCCGAATGGAAAAAGTCTACATTTCAGCCCCTCTCTCTCTGTCTCCCCGCCTGTGGTTCCACCTGTCACTGCTAATCTCACAGGCCTCTCCCGATCCATCAGCACACGGCCCCGGAGCTCGGAGGCTCTTCCACTCCAGTTTAGCCTGACAGGGCAACATGCAAATCCCCGCACACAGGGGAGATTAGACGGCAGAGAGGGAGCGGGTGAGGGCAGAGGTGAATGGGGGCCGAATCGGGGCCGAGGGCTTGCGGTGCTCGATCATGTGTTACAGTCCCAAGACGACCAGACTGTCGAGAAAATCAATCCGAGTGCAAAGACAGTCTCGAGGAACTTTTGAGAGAGCAACATCCTCTGAGGAAGGATTGCAAAATGAGAACAAAAAACCTTCCAGTGCTTGATGCATGAAGCTCTTGTACGTAGCTTCATGTGAACAGGACGTTCCTAGCGACTATAGTTTCAGGGTTCATTATCACAAATTAAAATGAAGACGAGTCGACTATAGTCTCAAGTTAAGAGAATACTCAGAAAGTTGAGCACAGGGATCACAGCATCAGTGGGTAACCGATATCGAATCGATTTCAAGAGTGTGGCTAATGTTAGCAGCGTTAGCCCCGTTAACCTTGCAGATTAATGTCCACATGCTTGTGCTGGGACTGAACACAACTTAATCTTCATTTTCTAGATGAAAATACTGACAAACCTCACTGCTCCAACGAGATGCCATCCATCCACTGTGCTGGTTTATATCCGGGTAGTAGAGCATGATGGCAGGATAGCTGTAGCCATTAACCTGAGCCACAGCCCTGGCTAGTGGGAACAGTTTAGACCCAACGTTTGACCTGCACTGCGGGCCTGAAGTGACGAAAATGAACAAACTAGTTTAACAAACTGGTAATTCTGTTGCCGACTTGTGAGTGTGAAGACATTTAATCGTTTAGTCAGCTGATCGAGAAAACCCCTAGTTTTTGCAGGGGTGTGTTCAGAGTGTTACTGGTTTGATTTGGTTTGACTGGAGGTCATTTTAGATCAGATAAAGTGTCAAGCAAAGAAACACAAAAGGTCCCGTGAAGGAGCTTTGTGTTTGTATTACCTGTAGGTGCATCCCAGACCAGCAGA